TCCTCTCTCTCTAGTTGTAATGTCTGCCTAACCTTATTCTGCATCACTATTGGGCAGATAGCTTTATTTATCAACCAATCAGAGCAACACACATTCACAGCATACAGAACGGCAAGTAAGCAAGCAGGTATCGAGAGTGTATTGGTTTATCACAATGGTTGACTGTGGATGTGATTCAGCTAGCTGCTTGAGTTCCTCCATTGACTTCCTCCAACATGATAGGCTATGACTTGGAATTGTAAGCCAAATAAACCTCTTTTTCCCCTAAGTCTTTTTGACAGTGTTTTTATCACAGTGGCAGAAAGAAAACCAGGATATCTGGGCTTCATTTAACCTTTTTTGATTTGGATTTTTCTCCTGGCATGCATGAATCTTTGCTTCCTATTTGTCTGGTAGCTTGGGCAATGTGGCTGCTCAGTAGTCATGCTAAACATGTTAGTAAATTTGAAGGAAATTAATTCCTATCATAAAGGACTGTTTTTTGGCGGGGGAGGGTTCATGGGAAATGATGAGGCCCTGAAAAGAACTGAGAATATTGGAATGGGTGGAGGCAAAGCACCTTTAAGGGTTGAACCGAGAGTCCAGTGTCTGTAGATTACGCTCACTGTCAGTCACTGCATACATTATGTGCTGATACACAACATCTGCCCCAGCATGCACCATGAAAGAACTGAAGTGTTGGACCAGTGTGCACAGGAGACCATGTAGACCTCGAGAAGGAAAGTACAGCTTCCTTCTATACAGATGTCTTCCAGGCCAAAGAACACCCAGCTCCTTCAACACCTTGCTCTCCTCATGGTACCAGGGGAGGAGGGGACTACTGGAAGGAAGAGTCCGTGACAAACGTAGTTACCCAGTAACTGATGTCATGTGCATCACAGCTGAACTATGTGAGTGACACATAGGTCCAGCCAGAATTTTTTTTTTTCCCTCCAGGAATGATGTCACCTCAGAGAACCGGAAAGTGTATTTGAGGGTTCAGGTCAGCTTCCCCCAAGGAGAGGTCAAGAAGGGTCAATTGAGGGTTGCTGCTGGCAACTGTACAGAGCCACACGTCAAGTTTCCCTCTCCCAGGAAAAGGCAAAGAAGGGAGCCGAATCCAACGCAGCTTTCTATTTGCGGTTGTGTCTGGGATTGCTGGCAGAGGCTGGGCTTTTAGTGGAGGCACAAAGCGGCAGAAAGAGGTTGTCAGCCACATTCAGCCAGCTCCTAAGATGGCGGATGTGGGATCTTCTACTGTGAAACACCACCACTCTCTGAGAGATTTAGAGAAGCGACCCTTAGAAGATTGGTGTGTTAAGAGTGAGTGTGGCGACAACCTTGGAGGCTGCAGCTGAGCACGTGTGTGACCAAAGCCTTCAGCGCAGGCTCTGACAGACTGCAGGCCACAGATAGCAGTAAAGCCCTTTGTGTGCTATGAAACAGCCTAGTTGTTTGCCCTGGCCTTCTTTGCCGAAAGATAGGTCAGCGGCAAAGATGTAAAGATAGTAAAACAGAGCTGACCCTGGGTCACATGGGTCAAAAGGCTTGCCAACACCTGGTTATAGATGGAAAAATATGGGGCTGACCCAGGCAAGAAGTGGAAGTGGGAATGTTTTTCCAGTAGATTTGCATGAATTTCTTTGGGTAGACTGCTTTGGGCTGGGATTTGTGGTGATGTATTATGTTCAAATGGTCTTCTCCAGGGAGTTAGTGGTCATTGTCTCTTCTCTCAGGGACATGATTTTCTAACAGAAGAAAGGTAACCAGAGACACAAGCAAGGTTGTTAGGGTTTGGGTGTGGGTAACCTCGAGGTATGGAGATGGCCACTGAGATAGCTCATTTGGAGGGAAGTCAAGGATTTCATTTTGGACACGTACAGCCTGTGGTCCTGTTGAACTTCCGGCTAGAAATGGTACATAGGTAGTTAGGTATATGGGTCAGAGTTTCAGGTCCATAATAGGGACAGATATTTGGGAGTCATTATACAGACATTCAAACCAAAGTGGAGATTGCCTCGGAATATGTGTCAACAGAGAAGCATTCCAAAGTTGAAGCCATGGGACAGTTTGCTGAGAGGAACCCGCTGTGAGAAGTGACATGACCTGGCTTAATTTCAGCAGCTTCTTCTTCTTATTGATCGTCTACTGCATTCCACTCCTATAATAGGACCTAGGAATAAAATACATCATACTAGTCCCTGACCTCAAAGCTCTCATAGTGAATGCATTAAACTGATCGTTTGCCTGCAGACTGGTAGCAGCAAAGACTCCTTTGAGGTAGCATGGGACGAGGCAGAGTGAGGGTAGGGTTGTGGGGGTTGGGTTTGGAGTGAGGGGGTGGGGGAGACACTTGGCTCAGGATAGGAGAGTTAGGGTCTTTGGAGAAAATAACACCTGTAAACTCAAAGAGAAAAAGTAGCATCTTGGGTGAAGAAGAGGAGAACAGAAGAAGAAGATGCCTTGGTCCATACTAGAAAGTGCATGTTGATTGCAGCAGCTGCAATTCTTGCCTGGAAAGCAGGAGGTCTGTCTTTATGAAGGTTACGCCTGGCATGTGAGGCGGCACTTCTGTTAATAAGCATGTGGGTAGCACAACGGACGCATTATTTACTCTGGCTGTGTCCATAGTTTGCTTGCAGAGGTTTGAGTTCAACTGGCCACCAACTGCAACATTCTAGAATTAAAAGAGAAAGGTGTCTCGGGTGGTCAAGGCAAGGCAAGGCAAGGCACTTCGTCAGCAGCGAACTCCGAGCCCCAGTCGGGACCATGTGGCAGCTCCATTTCCGAGCAGGCTTTGTTTTCCCTGGAAAGTGTTTGGTGAGCACAGAGTGTTCCTAGTGACGACAGGGGACTGTGGGCAGCGGGAAGGAAAGGGGAAACCACTTTGTCAATGCCCCATTCCACATCAGAGAGCAAACTGTAACCCAGCCGCCACCAAAGCAAGTGAGCATTGTGAAAAAGAAAGACTTGCCCAGGAGCTCCCGCTGACAGCAAGCTCTTTCTTCGGGCAAAAAATACCCAGTTCAAGCTATAGAATGGAGCCGAGAGCATAGATGTGGAATAATACACTATAGGACCTCATGCTCTTTGTGCCCAAACACAGTCTTCTATATTTTTTGGTTGAATAGATTTGAATTCAACCAACCTTGGATTGAACACATTCGGAAAATTCCATCTGTGTTGAACATGGACAGACCCTTTCTGTTCATCATTATTTTCTAAACAATACAGAATCATAATTATTTATGTAGCAGTTACATTACATTGACTATTGGGAGTAATAAAAGTGATTTTAAGTATGTAGGAATACACGTATAGGTTATATGTGAATGCCATGCTATTTTATATAAAGGACTTGAGCATCCTTAGACTTTAGAATCTTCTGGGACTCCTAGAACTGGCCCCTGAGGGATGACGTCAGCTAGCCTTTGTCTCCAGTCCGATCTCTGCTCACGGTCTGCCCTGCAGAGGTAGCATCCTCAGAAGAGGAGATGTGCAGGGAGAAGGGGCAGAGTGGAACAGGAGAGAGATGAGACAGCAGGAGACTCCATGTCTCCAGCCCCGGCCTCTAAACTTTTTATTTATCAGTTCAGTGTGTGTGTGTGTGTGTGTGTGTGTGTGTGTGTGTGTGTGTGTGTGTGTGTGTGTGATGAGTAGAGGTCAGAGGACAATTTTATAGAGTTGATTTTCTCCATTTACTTTTATGCAGGCTCCAGGGATCGCACTTTTATCTTGAGGTTTGTGTGGTGAGAGTGTTTACATGCTCATCCATCTCCCTGGCCCGTCCAGCCTAGGACCTCAGCTCTTCTAAATGATCAACAGCAAATCCTGCAAATTTGATATGTTTTGTTTTGTTTGGTTTTGGTTGGTTTGGTTTGGTTTTTCAAGACAGGGCTTCTCTGTGCAGTTTTGGTGCCTGTTCTGGATCTCACTCTGTAGACCAGGCTGGCCTTGAACTCAGTTCCGCCTGGCTCTGCCTCCCAAGTGCTGGGATTAAAGGCGTGCACCACCACCACCTGGCTTCGATATGGTTTTCATCACAGTCCCACACAGTAAAACTAAGTTCCAATATCATCAAGTCATATCCATGTGACTGTATGAATAGACATTGGTGGGCTATGATTTGAATCCTTATAGTCGGATTCTGGGGTCCTTGTTCTGTCAGTACATGGTTTTCTTTAAAATTTGGGACCATCCGGGATTGCTTTTTTCCCCACATAGATTCCTGGGCCCCAGCAGGACTTCATTCAGCAAACCTTGTGTGGATAGAGTTTCAGAAATTGAACAACATTTCCCATACACAAAAGAAGTTTAGTTAATGACGACCTACCACTTCCCATGTTTATTCCAGCCCCAGGCAGGTCACAGAATCTCCTCAGTCTCCACTGTCCTCTCTTGTGAGTTATGGGCAGGCAGGACTGTTTCCAGTTCAGAAACTGTGACTATGATGGCAATTTACTCTTAAAGCCTGTGGCAGGAGCTGGCCGGCTAGCCCTCTCCATCTCTCTCTGTCTTCAGATACCTCTGTCGCTGAGAAGATGTTGCAGTTGTCACTGTATTAATATCATTTGATCGACAAATGGTCAGTTTCCCTGGGAACTAGATGTCCCCTACTGTGATGTGTTCGACGTACAGGTCTCCCTAAAGCTCTGGTCAGGTCTCCAACCCCTCAGATATTTTTAGCTTCTGACTTCTTGGTCCTGCTAGAGATAAGGGGCTTGTGGGTAATTTTAATTTTCCTTATACAGTCTAAGTTCCCAGTCATGCCTTGAAGGCTTCCATCAGGTATCCTGCACCACTCATTCGTAAGCTAGCCCATTTCTGGCTTGCACTGTTGGTAGTTTTTTAAATCTTTTAACTCCCTTTGGAGAAAGGAAAGCAAACAAGTCTGTCCACTTGGTGGAGAGGCTTCTCAGTAAGAGGACCTGAAGGACTTCCCATTGGGCGTGAGGGAAATTGCACACGCCATCCGCCATCCGGGGAAGTGGACCAGGAAATCGCTTCTTGTTTTTCAAAAGGCAAACGAGGCTCCAGGGGATGGCTCCGAGAGGCTAGGAGGAGTGAGCAGCGCAGGGAGGCTAACCTTGAGCAAAGGAGTGGCCGCTCCTGTTCACAATGAAGCCTGCCCCGCTGTCCCCCGACTGTCTGTGAGGTTCCCCAAGAAGGCTGCGGGGCCAATGGCCCCGTAGTGAAAGACAGAGAAGCTTCTAGAGATCTGCTGAGAACAGGCGCCTGGAGACAACAGTGGTGGACAGGTAACAGTTTCTTTCTTCTTCTTTCTGTATAGTCTGTGTCCCTTTGCAACCTGAGGCATTTTGACATTCCTTCAGCGGTGTCCCAGTCATGGTGACTTAGATCACTCAAGATCATTGGCTGTTGGAAGATCCCAGCGAGTCTCCCTCCAGTTCACCGGGATCCTTAAGGATTCCCTCTTTGGTAGGGATTGCTTTCCTGAATCCCCCCAAACTTGTCAGGAGCACTGGTGAGCCTGTCCTGATAGCCACGCAGCTGTGGTGGTGGTGGTGGCCTGGAGCAAGGGGAGGTTGCCCTTGAGGAGTTCTCAGACAGTGCTTGGGTGGGGCATAGAGACTTCCCAGCCACGGCTGAGGGGAAAGCAGCTTGTGTGTTGCTCAGTAAAAGTGTGTGGGACCAAGAAGCAGTCAGACTTGCTTGGAATGTTCTGGAAAGTAGGGGAAATCTCTGTGGTGTATGGCTTTTGTTGTTGTTGTTGTTGTTTTAAAGAAAACCAGGCTGTGCAATTCCACCATAGGTCTTTGTCCTTTCTAAAGGGCCCAATGCAGTTGTTTGTTGTTATTGTTTTGTTTTTATTTGAGACAGGGTCTTGTGTCTTGCTACATAGCCCTGGTTGGCCTGGAATTTGCTATGTAGACCATGTTAGCCTCAGACTTGTGATCCTCCTGCCTCTATGTCCAGAACACTGTGAGGACAGGGGTGAGCCATTTTTTTCGTTATTGCATAGGAACACACGGATGTATTCTTATTGTAGAAGACTAGCTCTTGACAGTTTTCAAATATTACACCACCTCCATACACGCTTTTTCTCCTCTCCCCCACAAATTATATCACCACGTACTCTATATGGTACCAGTTAAAGGCTTATTTTTTTTGTTTTCCCTGGCTCTTAGAGTAAGCCAGGCTGGGATCTCACACATACTCAATGTCACAGTCTTGTGATGATACCTAATATCTCCTCCATGGAAGGATAACGTGACTCATGAGGAATGTGCACTGCTCACTAGAACTTATAAAGTGTGAAAAAATAGTACATTTCTTTTTACTATTTTGTCATTTTGTGTTGCTTTTGGCTCTGGTACTTAACAATATTAACGACAGCTTCTCCAGGATGAAACTTTAACAGTTAGTAGTTTGGGCATTTCCTTTGAAGGACATCAGAGTTAGCCTTCTTCTAGAAATAAAAAAGGGGAACGATAAAGAAATTAACTGGCTATACAGATAGATCAGTCATTCGATAGCTAAATGGTTGACCCAGGGAGGACTGGGTGAAGGCAGGGAACATTTGATTTTTACTGGATGGATCATCTTCCAAATATTTTAATCTTCTGTACAAAAGGCGGCCTTCTCTCTTTGCCCCAACTCTGTGTGATCTCTGTGCCCACAACAGGGGTGCCAAGAGATCCACAAGGCTAGGCCAGAAAAGTAGCTAGGTAGAGAGATGCAGGTGTATTTCAAAAAAGAATGCATCCCTGAAGAAAAGATGAGAGACGGTGTGCCACAAAGGCCAAGGACTCAGGCTTTGGGATAGACACTACCCTGTGCTCTGTGAACTGGGTATACTGTGTAATTTAGCTAGGCTTTGGTTTTCCCATTATACAAGTGGGGGGATAATGGTGGTTTTCGTAAGATAGGATCATAAATAGATAAAAAAAAAAAAAGAGTAAGGAAAAAATTGCAATGAACCAGTCCTCAGGGGTCATAGAGAATGGGAGGGGCCTTCAGAAAGAAGAAACAAACAAGGAAAAATGAAAAACTCCTGAGAGTAACAGCAACTCACTCAGTTGTTTGTGTGTATTTTCTTGATGTTTCTGAGACTTCTGCACCCCGAAACGGAAGGTCGCTTGGGGCTGCTGGATCTGAGATTCTGTTTTAGGCTGTCTTGCTCAACCACAGTCCCCTCTTCGGAGCTGTCGCTAAGCTAATGAATCCTCTCACCCACTGTGCTGACCTCGGGGTACACCTGATAGCCCAATGCTGCACAGAATGCAGTCACATCACTGGGCACCACCTGGTGCTCAGTGGCATGTCAGGGCGGTGGATGCTCACGCAGGCTACCCCCTTCTGAGTGGTGAGGCCGATCCACCTCCACTAGGTCTCCGTTCAGTCTCTTGCGTTCGTATATAACTTCTGCATCCTCAGAAGACACCCATACCTCTTCATTCACCATGCCGCAGGTAAAGCTGACCTCTGGCGGATTCCGGTACTAGTGAGTAAAAGCTAAGAAGTGCACGAACATTTCCAAGAATCCGAAAGTGAAGCTAACTAATTTGCCCAGCTTTACACAGTGACTTTCTGGTGGGACTCTGAGATGAGAATTCAGATCTCTTTTCAGCTCTTCAGCCCACTTCTTAACTAGGAACGTGAAGATAAACGATAACAAAGAATTGGCGTGATTATCTGGAGTCCATTAGCTCTGCAGCATGCTTTGCTGGCGACTGGGAAAATGCATCCCATTATTGCGTCATTTGGATATTTGCAGACTAGAATACCTCCTGTCAGGTGCTGTCATCCCAGGAGCTTCCCCAAACCAGAGCGAGGTCCATACACTTCACTGTCGCAGTTGGATCAGAACCTTTCTGGAAGGGACCTGTGCCGTGTGTTGTTTGCTGTCAATCTCCCCAGTGGTTCCGTTATGCCCCCGAGGCTGAGAGTGGAAACCTTGGCTGTAAAGGGTGGAGTGGTTAACGTGAGGTACAACGACATTACCTGGTTATGGTTCTGAAAATCTGGGCCTGTGCCCAGCTGTGAGCGCTATGAGTTAGAACCCTGGCAGGCAAGGATGGAGAGGACATTCCTGTCTCCACCCAGAGTGGCATTCATTGTCTTTCCCATTTAAACTGGAATGACCCCACTGACTTGACACAGATACATTAGCGCCTGCTTCTTGCAGACCTTGCGGAGTCTGATTAAACGTCCTAGTAAACAGGATATGCTCAGTTAAATGCATGAACTGGCTGTGTGTGTGCACACCGTAAATGCACAAGTGATTTACCAGTGTATTTCAGTTCACATTAACTCTGGTCACCACCCTCAAAACAACTGAAAGCTTGCTTATTTCCTAAAAGATAGTTATAAAAATAAAGACTTTAAAGTCACAGCCTAGAAGAATCAGGTGTCCCAGAGCAGCTTGCTAGGTTTCACAGGATTAAGAACGCAGACACCCTTGTCCTGTAATTAATTCCTTTAGACTTTTAACATGAGCTGAGTTGCTAGTATTGAGAATTTGGATGGCATGTGTTTATGGAGTGCTCACTGTGTTCTAAGCACCATGACCATTGTTTTGTGAAGATAGCTTTTTTTTTTTTTAGTTGTGTCAACAGGCCTGTGTTATTGTAATCCTTATTTAATAGAGAAGCAAATATACAAAGGTTAAGTAAATTGCTTAAAGAAAAAACACTAATGTGTAAGAGAGTCATAATTACATTTCAGGCAGTCTGACTTCAGAGTTCATGTTCCGAATTATTGCGCCACACTCCACAAACCACAACACGGGTGCCAAGAGACCCACAAGGCTGGGCCAGAAAAGCAGCTAGGTAGAGAAATGCAGGTGTGTTTCAAAGAAGGATGCATCCCTGAAGGAAAGATGAGAGATGGTGTGCCACAAAGGCCAAGGACTCAGGCTTTGGCAATAGACACTACCCTGCGCTATGTGACCTGGGTATATTGTGTAATTTAGCTAGGCTTTGGTTTTCCCATTATGCAAGTGGGCAATAATGGTGGTTTTCATAAGATAGGATCATAAAGACTAAGTGAGTCTGATGTGTGTGCGTGTTTAGCCTTACATCTAGTCTGTAGACGTGCTTGATAAAAGGTAGCGGCGGTCATTGTTATTGAGTAATTAAAAAAAAGGGAGGGGCCCAAAACAATGCCCCAAGCTCAAAAAGGAAGAAAAACAGCTTCGCAGTGGTCAAGACCCATATGAGGAGACACTCAGAGGTGGCAATGCATCTAACCCACGTTTACTGTTAGTATTTGTGCCATGTTTGGTAAAGGAAGTCACAGTAAAAGCTTGTGAGTGGGTCTGTCCATATCCAAATATCCCGGAGACAACTTTGGCTGAGCTGGGTTTGCGTTAGGTTAGGTTAGGTTTGTCAGATGTTGCCGAAGCATCCATCCTCAAGACATCTGAAAATGTTGGAAGTGCTTGAATTAGATGCAGTGGTGGTCTAGAGGAGAGCTCGGCCAGAGAAAACTTAACAGTTGCTGCTGTGTAGGATGTGTGGTCAGGGAAAGGGGGAGGGTCATTCAGGAGATTACAGCCACCATCCAGATGTGACTGGGTAACATCCAACTCCCTCAAAAAGGAACGTGAGCTCCTCTGAGAGTGTCATCAGTTACCTAGCAACTGCTTGGATGCCACTCCTTACCCCTGTCTGCTTCTTGTGCCCAAGAATAACAGTAGGGCTGTGGGCCTGTGTATTTGGAGAACAAAGCAGCAGAAGTCGAATCCAGAAAGAGATGGTTAGGAGAGACTATGGACGCACAGAAGACAGCAGATTTGATTCTAGCTGAGCCAAATTTAGACCCAGATGGAGATGGTACAGCTGGAATTATGTGCCTAGTATTTAGCAGATAGGCCAGGGTAGAAATAAAGCTTGGACTGTTCTCACATAAAACCACTGTTCAAACTGGGGAACTAGACAAGCTCCCCAGGAGCGAAGGTGTCAAGGTAGAAAAGCCAAACCGGAAGGTGAGGCATTTGGCAAGATTCCGGTTCTGGGGGTTGTGGTGGATGAGAAAGGAGAGAAGCAGGGGAATAGGGGGAGGAGAAGGGATGTCACAGAGGAGGGGACACAGGTAAGGAACCAGAGGGAGCCCCAGTGAGACACATTGTCAAGTTCTTTTTTTGTAAAATACTTACGATAATAAGCTCTACAGTCACATGGTCCAGATTAATACATCTTGGAGCATTGAGGTCTTATAGTTACATCTGGAGAGAAAACTGAAAAAATTATGATTTCTTTTTCAGTTTTGTGTGGCATAGTCCTTATCGTTAAAA